CAGAGGGCAATGGAACTAGGGATAGATGTTAAAGAATACTGTAATGTTTGTAAATGTGGAAGAGCCGAGTCGTCAATTCTGCCTGGTGGGAATGGAAGTGTTTGTTATATTAAGTCCTTGTACCTTTGTATACTTTCTTAAGGCCTCGGGAGAGCTCACAAAAAAATGTATATATATTTTGTAGACATTATTCTGTATCAGTGCATACAAATCCGTCACATGTACTTTAACAGTTGGGTAGTGGTCTGTTTTATAGAGGACAGAAATTTCAGTTTGAATCCCTTATGTATAAATATTTAAGTTCCAGTTTTCTATCACACCCAGGATGGCAATTATCTTCACTTTTGCATCTTAAAGCATCTATGTAATTATTCCCTTCGAACCAAATCCTGGAAGTTGAATTCTTTGGTTAAAAAAATGTGTATTTAAGGGGCGCCTGGGTGGCTCAGTCGGTTGAGCGTCCAACTTCGGCTCAGGTCATGATCTCATAGTTTGTGATTTCGAGCCCCACGTCGGGCTGTGTGCTGGCAGCTCAGAGCCTGGAGCCTCCTTCGGATTCTGTGTCTCCCTCTGTCTCTGACCCTGATCCACTCGCATTCTGTCTCTGTCTCTCTCAAAAAATAAACATGAAATAAAAGTTGTTTTTTTTTTTAAATGTACATTTAAAACTTTGGTAGGTGTTGCCAAATGGCCCTTCCAAAATGCTGTGTCGAGTTATTGTCTTGCAAACAGAGTGAATATTAATATTTTTTGCCCAACTGGTAGGTGACAAGTGTTAAGCCATTATTGTTTTAATTTGCGGCTCAGGGCCTCTCTAGGAATTTACAGGCTTTTTAATTTCTTCTTTATTCTGTAATGCCCATTCAAGCCCTTAGAGCTTTTTCCTGTAGAATGTTAATCTTTTATGTTATTGATTTGGGAGCTTTTTACAAGTTGCATCTACTGACCTTTTCGTTGAAAAAACTTTCACCTCGATTTTCATTTATTTACTAATTTAAAATTTTTTTTCAACGTTTTCTATTTATTTTTTGGGACAGAGAGAGACAGAGCATGAACGGGGGAGGGGCAGAGAGAGAGGGAGACACAGAATCCGAAACAGGCTCCAGGCTCTGAGCCATCAGCCCAGAGCCTGACGCGGGGCTCGAACTAACGGACCGCGAGATCGTGACCTGGCTGAAGCCGGACGCTTAACCGACTGCGCCACCCAGGCGCCCCTATTTACTAATTTTAATAGTCTTTTTTAAAATGTTTACCTTTGAGAGAGAGAGAGAAAAAAAAAGTGTGAGCAGGGGAGGGGTAGAGATGGGGGAGACACAGAATCCGAAGCAGGCTCCAGACTCTGAGCTGTCAGCCCAGAGCCCGACTCGGGGCTCGAACTCACAAACCGCAAGATCATGACCTGAGGTGAACTTGGACGCTTCACTGACTGAGCCACCCAGGCGCCCCATTACTCTTTTACTGCTTAGAAAGACTTAAATCACATGCATTCACTATGAATTTTTTTCCCTAGCTTTTGACTTTGTTTTCTCCATAGTTTGTGATATGCCAAGGAGAGAATTGCTTCTTTTTTTTTTTTTTAATTTTTTTTTCAACGTTTTTTTATTTATTTTTGGGACAGAGAGAGACAGAGCATGAACGGGGGAGGGGCAGAGAGAGAGGGAGACACAGAATCGGAAACAGGCTCCAGGCTCCGAGCCATCAGCCCAGAGCCTGACGCGGGGCTCGAACTCACGGACCGCGAGATCGTGACCTGGCTGAAGTCAGACGCCTAACCGACTGCGCCACCCAGGCGCCCCATGGAGAGAATTGCTTCTTAGGTGACTTCAGTCTCCACCATCTCCCATGATCACAGGCCCTTCCAAGAGTTCTCTGGGGTTGACAGTGCGTGTAGGGTAACCAGTGCCTTTCTTCTGCTATAGATCTACGTGTCTCTATCCTGTTTACCCCTTGTCATCAGTGTATCAGCAGGAGTTTGGTCAGAAAAACAAAAACCACTTTGAGTAGTACAGCTGGGAAGGGATCACATACAGAGATGAAGGGGCACTCCTGGCCACTGGAAACACTGGGGGTGTGGGGAGGTCAGGAAGGTCACTGCCTGCAGATGAGGCAGTATGGAAGTTCAGGACTTGATCTCCGCTGACTGATGCACCAAGAGGGGATTATTATCAAGGGATACTTTAAAGAGCTGCGGGAAGAACATCACAGCTGTCACAGCTGATGCCCACGTGTGTGCCTGCACCTGCCACCAGAAAGTAATGGCTTCTCCATCTTCTCTTTCCCGAGCCTCTCATTCCACAAGGGTCCTACTCATAAGAGTGTCTAGAAAATGTATGTTCCAGGCTTTCAGCCCTTTGCCCTACAGAGGAGGGCTCAGCGGGGCTGAAATCATGCTGAGTATTTACAGTTATTACCTGGAGGGTGTTTTCAGTAAAGATCAGATTGAATCAAATCGAAAACATTGTCCATGCATGGGAGGTTTCTTGAGCACCAGTGGGCAAGAGATAACACAGTGCCTTGTGTTGGGGTATTTGGCATGAAAGACTCTTGTTCAGAAAAGGAGGGTGAGAAATTGACCTTCATAGTCCATCTGAATAGATTTTATTCATTTGAAATTTTATGACATTCTGACATGAGATTTAAAGTCAGACAATTTGTAGAAATAGTGAAGCAGAAGTTTGAAAGGGTGATTTGCCCTCCTCACAGATCAAGGAGTGGCTGATCCGTCTAGACTAAAGCTTATCTCAGTAAATAGACCCAGGACAGTGGAATTCTCTGTTGTAATCCTTGGGTATGGAATCCTTGGGATTGGGTATGGAATTAGTGGAATTAGTGAAGCCAATTCATTTGTATTCTTGGTCCAGAAGAAATTTGTTGCTGGACAATAACCCACAGTTGACAGTTTTAATCTAGTTATTACACAGTTCAACCTCTGAACAGCAGAAAGGACGTCTGAGGAGTCACAAAGGTAAAGTCACATCATTTTCTCTAGCAGAACGAGGCCAATTTAGAACTGGCTTCTCTCTTTCCCCAGGATCCATTTCCTTCCTCCCAGCAGGGTGTTTTTCTTAACTTCTTTTGGGATCTCCTTTAAAGACTTTTGAAATGTTTGAGGTGCTGGTCTTTTCATGGCTTTTTAGCAGTTTGGACATTCCAAAGCCACTGTGTAGCCTTTTCTCTCTGTAATGAATCAGAGCCACATGGACAGTCTTGAGAGGTGTCACTAATTTCACTGCTGAGTACCAAAAATCACTAATAATAACATCATACGTGTGTGTCAGCAAGGTCCTTTCCAGTTCTTGGACTTGGTTGCGTTTCCAGGTTTCGAATTAAGAGATATTTGCAAAGGGTTTGGATTTTCAGTTAGATGGCTACATGATTTCTGAGCGTACAGCTTCTCAGCTTATAAAGAAGGCACTTGCGAGTTTGTGTAGCTCACGTCATCTTTATGACTTTGATTACCTGTGAAAGAGGAAAGGGAGAAGGTATTCTCAGCCTCATTTTCTAGAAGAAACCCAAATTCCAAAGACTGAGTGAATTGCCCCCATCACCCAGTTCATGGTGATAAGATTCATTGTCTCTGAGGTCTATAATCTTCCACAGTGCCTAGATGTAAATATAAATGTTTATTTTTTCAAGTTTATGCTGTAATCTGTAAAATGCTCCGTTCATTGCCAGTTGTATGCATTTTGGGTAAGGATTTATAGAACCTTTTTTAATTTTTTAAAAATTTTTAAAAAAATGCTTATTTATTTTTGAGAGAGAGAGGCAAAGCATGAGCAGGGGAAGGGCAGAGAGAGGGAGACACAGAACAAGAAGCAGGCTCCACGCTCTGAGCTGTCAGCACAGAGCCTGACGTGGGGCTCGAACTCACGGACCGCAAGATCATGACCTGAGCTGAAGCCGGACGCTCAACCGACTGAGCCACCCAGGCGCCCCTAGAACCTCTTTTTTTAAAAACAAAAAACAAAACAAAACAAAACAAAACTCAGAAACATCAAAAGCATAAGATTTTTAAGAAGGAAATTCATGATTTTCAACCAGCATGTAAAAGTCAATTTTAGGTTAAGATTGACTATATATAATTTTTAAAAGTCTGTAATCATATGGAAACTCAACTTCATGTTAATTACATGTGTATTTTGGCCTCACTTAAGAGGCGCTAAAAGTTCGTTTTGTAATGCCTTTATTATAGAGTCAATGAAGAAAAATGGAACGCATACCAAAGGAAACACATATAAATAAGATTCCCTGGTGCAAATGTCTTTTGAAACCCATTAGCTATTACCCATGAAACTCCAGTGACAACCATGTGGTTAGAGCCACATGGGAAATACGCTGAGTGGGAATCAAGAGTGAAAAGAAAGATACCTGCTTTTTATTAAAACCCGAAGAGTGTTATAATTGGGTTGAGTTTCTACCCAGATGGCCCCCCTTCTTATGACATCTGCAAAGTGTATCTAAAACTACCTTGAGGTGTTATTTTCTGCGGCTGCGTGGACACATGTTAACTTCGTCAAAAACCAAGACCTTGGAGTCCTTCACAATCTTTCTTGCTAACTCATGCCAACTCAAGGGAGGAGCTAACTCATGTGCTTCTCCCCTCAGGGAGATTCCTATGGGTTTCCCTATTGGGAAAGATTTGACATTCCTTGAGGCAGTTGTAAGTATCTGGTCTTCGATCTTTTGCAAATCAATGACAGTTGCATAGATTTGAGGCTATTAGAGTTCATGTCAACTTGACAATACAGTTATCTCTGAAAATATTAAGTGGTAACAATAAAAAATACTTCCTGTAAGTGAAGTTGTGAAATGTCAGGTTCAAATGTGCATTTTCATTTGGTATTTTTCTAAATGAAAAGGCTTGGTGAGAACTCCCCACCCCATGTCTGAACATTGTTTTTTTTTTTTCAAAGAGTTTTAACGGACGTGTTCATTGTTACATATTACATTTGGTTGCCACGGTTTACGGGTTCTTAACAGTTCCATGTCCTCCTTGTCAGACAACAGAAAGATCAGAGTTAATGGAACCAAGGAACCTATAGAATTTAAATCGAACCAGTGGTTTGGGGCAACAGTGAAAGCTCACCGAGGCGAAGTTGTGGTAAGTATGAGTCGTGGCGATGCTGTGCAATATTATGTTCTCAGTTTTTCAAAACTGCTTTCATGTAAGGACTTCTATTGAGAGGGAGAGAGAGAGAGAGAGTGTGCGTGGGGTGGGGGGAGGGGCAGAGAGAGGGAGCCGGAAGCAGGGCTTGATCCCACCAGTGCCCCAGGACATGTCAGATTTTTAAAGACAAACTTGGGGCGCCTGGGTGGCGCAGTCGGTTAAGCGTCCGACTTCAGCCAGGTCATGATCTCGCTGTCCGTGAGTTCGAGCCCCGCGTCGGGCTCTGGGCTGATGGCTCAGAGCCTGGAGCCTGTTTCCGATTCTGTGTCTCCCTCTCTCTCTGCCCCTCCCCCGTTCATGCTCTGTCTCTCTCTGTCCCAAAAAATAAATAAACGTTGAAAAAAAAATTAAAAAAAAAAAAGACAAACTTATCAGCATTCTAAAAAAATAAATTTAGTAGCCCTTAAAATGAAAGAATTTATTCTAGTGTTTAAAGTTATAGGAGATAAAGCTTGTTTTCCATATCAGTTAGAGATTTTTAAATATTGCAACACTCGGACGCATGAGTGGCTGTCGGTTAAACATCCGACTTCAGCTCAGGTCGTGATCTCTCAGTTCGGGAGTTTGAGCCCCACATCAGGCTCCTCGGTGACAGTGCAGAGGCTGCTTGATATTCCCTCTCTCTGCTCCTCCACCCCCAAATAAATAAACTTTAAATATTTTAAAATATATAACTGCTAATTACATAGTTCTCTGAGTACATTAATAATTTTTTTTTTAATTTTTTTTCAACGTTTTTATTTATTTTTGGGACAGAGAGAGAGAGAGCATGAACGGGGAAGGGGCAGAGAGAGAGAGGGAGACACAGAATCAGAAACAGGCTCCAGGCTCTGAGCCATCAGCCCAGAGCCTGACGTGGGGCTCGAACTCACGGAGCGCGAGATTGTGACCTGGCTGAGGTTGGACGCTTAACCGACTGCGCCACCCAGGCGCCCCAATAATTTTTTAAAGTAAAAAAAACCCCTCACTTTCAAGTAGATATCGTTCAGCTTTAAAGCACTATGGCTTCATGATTCTCTTATTTCAATCATCTACGTGTCTAAGCTATTGAGAAATAAGTGACTATATTAAGCTGATCTGGAAATTTTTTTCTTGGGGGAATTTTTTAAACCATTGGCTTTAATTTCCTTACAACAATAAAGCAATAACTTTGGCTTTTAGGATTTGTTTAAAGCTTCTTGAATTATGTTTTAATAAGAATAAGTATTTAAAGGAAATACCTTGCTTTATTTGGTCTGTGGTTAACCCCCCCATGGAGATTTTGACATAAGCAGGTAATGTGTAAGATACAGACAGCCCTCTCCAGTTGCAAATCCAGAATTTACAGGATGGTCTCTATAGAACTATACTTGCATTAATATGGTTTTCATATTCCACAGTTGGTAAAAACTTTTTTAGCCTTTAGTGGCATATGACATGTGAATTGCTTTGGAAAGTTAATTCTATCTAATGACTATGTGGGATTAAAAAAAATCTTCTGGGTACTGTATTGATATTTTTAAGTCTTGAAAACTTATCTGTAACACATTATGCATCTCTGAAAATCGTATGCCATGTTCATAATAAAAATAGTTAATTTGGGGGCATGTTTCCATTTTCAAAATTATGTAAAAGGAAATCCGATAATATTAAATATATTTCAAGTTAATTTTTTCCTTTGAGCACTGAAATTTAGGGTATCACATATGCCCTACGTGATAATTATTAGGACTTCAAAATGCTGAAGTATCTTTTTGACTATCCAGATGTCATGTGTGTATGTATTAAGTTTGGGTCAAAGTCCAAATTTATCTTATCAGTGTATTTCACATCAGTGTGAAACTGAGCAGATATAAATAGGATAACTTTCTAGGCAAGAACTGGGAAGAATTTTCTTGGCATCTAAGTGTGGGGGTGGGGTGGAGGGGTGAGATCCGGCAGGTGAGGCCGGCTTTCAGAATACCTCACTGCATAGGTGAGTGCCCACACTGCCCACACTCCTGCCTTTCACCGTTGGAACCTTATGTTAAACATATTAGCACATAGTTTGTTAGTTTATTAAGAGGTCCCTAAGACGAAAGAATGTGGATGAGATTGATGGTTTTTAGGTTATCAGCCAAGACCTCACAATACCAAAAGAGTCAAGTTGTGGAAATACTTTTCTTACTTGAGAATAGAAATAAAATATTTTCACTAAAAGTAGTTGCGCATTGGGCAGATTACCAAGGACACATTTGGAATCGTGAAAGGACTTTATTTTTTTTTTCAATGTCTATTCTTTTTTTTTTTTTCTTTTTTGAGAGAGAGAGAGAGAGAGACAGAGACAGATCGTGAGCAAGGAAGGGGCAGAGCGAGAGGGAGACAGAATCTGAAGCAGGCTCCAGGCTCTGAGATGTAAGCACAGAGCCTGATGCAGGGCTCAAACCCACGAAGAGATCATGACCTGAGCCAAAGTCAGATGCTCAACTGACTGAGCCACCCAGGCACCCCATGAAAGGACTTCAAAATCAGTGTCTGCCTTCATATTCCTGGCATTTTTAAATTTTAAGAGTGATATCATCAAAATCGGAGGTAGGCCAGTGATTCCATATTCCAGGCATCTGTAATTCTGTGTCCTTCGAAATGAGTGCTTGAATAATCAGGTAAAACACACTTATGGCGGATTCATGCTAGCAAACAAGTCAAAAAGATGCCTATAATTTTCTACACATTTGTTTTATTGCCTCTCTCATTTGTAACAAAATTAATGTTGCTTAATTTACTTAAAGAGGACTTCATATATTCTCTTTTGTATTTGATATCCTTCCAAATATCATGCTTTTGTTAAGAATCCAAGCTTCTGAAGAAGCAACCAGAGTATTTCATGCAAGAATCATATTTCCTTTCTGTTGCTTAAATTAATTTTTGTTTTGTCATGAATAAAAACCATTAACTAAAAAATAAAGTCAGGAACACTGTGATAAGGGAGTAGCATGTCCAAATGAAAGTCATTGTTTAAAAAGTCATAAGATATGCCATCAGCGATAAGCCAGGGAAATCCATAAAACAGAGGTTTACAAACTTGTCTACATCTTTGAATTCAAAAATAATTTCTTAAAGCAACAAGCAGACCAAAAAAGGAGCTCTCATTTTAACACATCACACTGATTTACTGACTGAAATGATCGTTTGAGTCTAAGTAGGTCCAACTGTTTTAAAAAAGACAAGAAGATGTTAGTTGTTTGCTGTTAGGAAATAATTACTTTTGCCAGGTTACACATATTTAACTTTAAATCCTGTGGGGGGAGAGCTCATTCCTTTCTATATGTTTAATTTATTCTGATGCTATTGTGGATTAATGTTGGGGGAAAAAGAACAGTTTTGGAAGTTTCATTAACTCTGCCTACTGAGGTACTTACCAGCATGCTGGAGGCCACTTAAATTGCCACTAATTTAACATAGTTTGTGATGAATGTAGACACATTAGTCAACAGGTTCAGTCATATCATAGCATGAGGAACTGATGCCACAAAAATATGTTTTGTCTTCGATGCATCACAGGCCTGCGCTCCCTTATACCACTGGAGGACTCTTAAACCAACACCGGAGAAGGACCCGGTCGGCACCTGCTACGTAGCGATTCAGAATTTCAGCGCCTATGCAGAGTATTCGCCTTGTCGGAACAGTAAGTGACTTTATTCTTTGAAAGGGCACTTTAGCTCCAGAGCCTTTCTATGGTAGGCAGTGCAGGCAATATCAGAACCTCACTGACAAGGAAAAAGAGATGGGGTGAAGATTATGGGCGGCCTTTCAGGAGGTCTTGCTGCGACATGAGGGCCAAGACCCAGATTTCTGTGGGTCCTTTTCCGTGTTGTAGACATTTCTTTAGTAGGATTGATTGGTTCCTTAGTTGAGGCCTTAAACTCTCAGCGGCTGTTCAGAATTCACACCGCAATCTAAAGAACGGTGACCACCCACTTGACTCGTTCCCGGCAGGAGTGGTGTTTGAGAGTGTGCTAGGAACTGGGGACATTCTCAAATCAGCTTTCTGTCCAGCCTGTGTTCCTGCCGGCTGTTGCTCTCTTTGGCAGTTGTGTGCTTGGGTTATCTGCATGGTGGGCTTTTCTCCCTTAAATGTTTAATCCCTATTTTTCAAAAGGGCTCCGCACGCTTAGAGTGTAAGTCTTATCTGGCCGTTCTCGGGATCTCCCAGCAAAGCATCTTTGAAAGCAAGCCTGGCGAGTTCCAACTTTGGGACACTGCTGTTTTAATCACTTCTTGCTGGAACACCACGGATTTGGGACAGCAGTTCTGACTGCTTGGATCTACTCAGTCCTTTTGTGAACTCTTCCAGTTTTCCGTGTGTCATTGGAGATCAGTGGGATTTGTCAGGGAGCAACCACGGGATTTTCATCCTTATTCTCGATAGTTTGCAAAATCACAATGAGGAGAGAAAGGTCATTAGAAGGAACATTCTAGCAACTGATGTCGGGAAATTGATTTTTCAAAAACCCAATCCCAAATTAGATTTCCAAAACCATAAGTAATATTTCCCCATTTTGCATGAATATTTTTTATAAATTTTTTTTAACATTTATTCATTTTTGAGAGACAGAGAGCATTGAGCAGGGGATGGGCAGAGAGAGGGAGACACAGAATCTGAAGCAGGCTCCAGGCTCTGAGCTGTCAGCACAGAGCCCGACACGCGGCTCGAACTCGTGAACAGCAAGATTATGACCTGAGCCGAAGTCGGACACTCAACCGACTGAGCCACCCAGGTGCCCCCTGCATGAATATTTTTTAAATCCAAGATTAATTTAGGCAAGATAATGAGCAAATATCAGAAATAAAACAACGCAGATAAAGAATGGATCAGTGAGGGGCGCCTGGGTGGCACAGTCGGTTAAGCATCCGACTTCAGCCAGGTCACGATCTCGCGGTCCGGGAGTTCGAGCCCCGCGTCAGGCTCTGGGCTGATGGCTCAGAGCCTGGAGCCTGTTTCGGATTCTGTGTCTCCCTCTCTCTCTGCCCCTCCCCCATTCATGCTCTGTCTCTCTCTGTCCCAAAAATAAATAAACGTTGAAAAAAAAAAAAAAAAAAAGAATGGATCAGTGATATTAGAGGGTTAATAAAGATGCCGCCGAGATTTCCTCTAAATAACAAAGTGGAACAGCTAACTCAGATGGGGGTAGGATTTTGGCAAGGGGCAGATGATGGCTTCTGTTTTAAAATATTGACATAAATTACCCACTTCCTCACATTACGACAAGTGTCGGCCGAATGAATAATCTGTGAAATTAAGATTTTATTTTAAAGGCTTGAAAACAGAGGTTCCTTGTTGATAATGAGACTCGATTATGTATCCATTCAACACACTAAGCACTAATTATTCTGTGTTTAGGGAATAAAGCACAGAACAAGAGAAAATAAAACACAGTCTTTAAGAAACTTACATTCTAAGTAGGGGAGAGAGACAACAAACATGTAGGTGTTCAGATCCAGCAATTCCACATCTGGGTGTAGGTCCAGAGGAAGTGAAACCAATATCTCAAAAAGATATCTGCACCCCCACATTCATAGCAACATGATGCACTTTAGGCAAGACATGGAAACAACCGTAGCATCCATTGATGGGTGAATGAATAAAGAAGATGTTGTGTGTGTGTACAATGGAATGTTATTCAGCCATAAAAAGAAGGAAATCCTGCCCTTTTCAACCACGTGGATGGACCTTGAGAGCGTTATGCTAAGTGAAATAAGCCGGACGGAGAAAGACAAATACCAAAGAAGAACGCCACTTACACGCAGAACCTAATGAAAAATAAAACAAAAAACAAAAACTCCAAACTCAGGGACATGGAAAATAGATCAGTGGTTGTGAGAGGCGCAGGGTGAGGAGATGAGTGAAGTTGGTGAAGAGGGTCAAAGGTGCAAATTCCCATTTACAAGACAAATAAGTCCAGGGGAAGTAATGTCCAGCAAGGTGACTATGGTTAACAATACTGTATTGTGAGGGTGCCTGGGTGGCTCAGTTTGTTGAGTTTCTCACTCTTGATTTTGGCTCAGATCCTGATCTCATGCTTTGTGGGATCGAGCCCCGCGTTGGGCTCTGTGATGAGCTTGCTTGAAGCCTGCTTGGGATTCTCTCCCTCACCCTCTGCCCCTCTCCCCCACTCACACGCTGTCTCTCTAAAATAAACAAAGCAAAACAAACAAAAAAAACCCCACAATACCATATTGTGTATTTTTTATTTGAGAGACACAGAGAGCACACGTTGGGGAGGGGCAGAGAGAGAGAAGGAGAGAGAGAATCTAAGCAGGCTCCACGGTGTCAGCACAGAGCCTGACATGGGGCTTGATCTCAGAAAGTGTGAGATCATGACCTGAGCCAAAATGAAGAGTCGGACGTTTAGCCAACTGACCCACCCAGGCACCTGCTGTGTTGTATATTTGAAAGTTACTAAGAGAGTAGATCTTAAAAGCTTATCACAAGAAAAGAAACTATAATTGTATGTAGTGCTGGGTCTGGCTGTTAACTAGATTTACTGTAGTGATCATTTTGTAGTGTATACATGTATCAAATCATTCTGTTATATTCCTTGGACTAGTAATAACATGTTATATGCCAATTATATATCAACGAAAAGAAAACTTCTAAAAAAGAATACATTCATAATACAAAGGCAGATAGCGCAAAGTGCAACAATGAAAAACATAACAAAGCGAGAGAGTAGGGAGTGACCTGGCCCCGGTGGGGAGAGGAGCTTTGGGAAAGGACCATGGGAAAGGCTCTCTTAGCAAATGGCTATTGGAGCAGGGCAGGGGGACTGTCCCACGCACGGGCAACAGCCCAGAGAGGCATATTTGGAGTTGTGTTCCGCTCAGGGTGTTGTGTTTCTTGGTTCCATGAGAGGCCATTACTATTACGCGAAAGATAAAAGTCAGGTAGAGGGATAAAGAAAATCCCAACTTAAATCAGAAAACTACTGGATGGCTGAGGTTTAACAGAGAATGTGTTTCATCAATCCTGTTCATATCCTACTTCTCCCGATGTGCTAAAGATGCTTCCCCATCTCCGTAAACTAGGAGAGCTGAAACGATGAGTTCATCCTTCATAGTCCTCTTGCCTGGGTGATCTACCGTACTCTTCCAGCTAACGTGGAGGGTGATCGTTTATAAGACCCGTCACTGCCTTTTGTTCTGCCTTTTAGACTGAGTGCCTCTGTAACGAGAGAACTCAGGTTAAAATACAGTACGTGGCACCGAACCATGAGTCTGAACCTTTATCTGAAAATAACAATCATGGTCGGCTTGTGTCCTGAGTGACCCGGGCACATTATGATGCCAATTGACTCACTCTTTATTTTCCTAAATAAACGAATAGCTTGACACAGGTAAAAATGGAGTCGAATTGCAGAATCGCTAAGTCAATTCCCAAGAATCCTTTTCCACTCTGGTTCACATCAATAGTTCTCACTTTCCTCGTGGCCGCTCTCTTACTACAAAACTTTTTCCTCCAGAAATTCACCCAAGGAGCTGACTTCCTGTCTTTCCCCCAGGAGTTTACAGTTCATTAACACAAAGCCAGCTTGTTCATGAGCATATGGTCAGTATCCCAGAACAGGAACATCAGCAATATTATTTTCAAAAGAGAATTTAAGGAGCCTCCTCCTGCTCATTCCTACCACAAACATACCCCACTGATACGCTGAGCAATACGGGAACTAATGTGTTCATTCATATTCATGACATGCCTCCTACTCTCATTATCATTCATAATTCAGGTGGGGATGATTTACACACAGCCTTCCCTTCTACTTTGAAAACCAACAAATAGTAGTGAATGATCAGCACGATTCCCTGGATCCTGACTTCATTCTGGGACATAATTGTAAACTTTCTAAATGTTCTGAAATTCCAGGAGGATAGATTCCTTCAGCTCTCATGAACTATAACCCTAAGAGAAAAAAAGCTACCTCACATTCGGTTACAATCACTGCTTCAAATAAACATTTGAAGTTGGTTGTTTTCTCAGTGAGTTTCATGAAAAGTATTAGTATTTTCTTTTAATTTTTTGTTTCCTGTTTTGGAGCAAAATAATTTCAAAGGATGGTCATATTTCTTCTTTGAATAATTTACAATATTAAAAATGAAAAGAAAGACTTGATTTAAAAAGGATTTCTAAAGAGGTTTGTACATTAGAAAAATACGTTTCTTAAATATACTCGAGATTGCAGATATAGGCTTACATATCATATATCAGGTATTCGTATATATCTCTCTGGATGCATGTAAGTATTTACACACATGAACTTCCAGAAAACTGGTAACCAGACATTTGAGGTTATACAGATGAACCTTTAGGAAACTTTATAGCATTCAGAACTACAAACCACAAAACATAGTTTAAAATAAGGAGTAAATTTTATAAAAATACAGTGTAAGATGTTGTGCACTTAATTGCAGGGCCTGGGTGGCTCGGTTGGTTAAGCGTCCGACTTCAGCTCAGGTCGTGATCTCACAGTTTGTGAATTCAAGCCCCACCCCCCCCTCGGGCTCTGTAGCCTGGAGCCTGCTTCGGATTCTGGGTCTGCCTCTCTCTGTGCCCTAACCTACTTGCACTCTGTTTCTCTCTCTCTCTCTCTCTCAAAAATAATAAACATTAAAAAAATTGTTTTTAAAAATTGCAGAGAGTAAACCTCATGTTAAATGTTTTTACCACAAACAAACAGAGGGACACAAGAAATTTTTTGTAGGTGGTAGAAATTCTTATTACTTTGATTTTGGTGATGGTTTTGTGGGTGTATGCATATGTCCACACTCATGAAAATGTATCCATTAAGATGTACAGCTTTTTGTATATTAAGTATATCCCAATAAAGCTGAAAAAAAAAAAACTAAGCTTAAAAAACACATGAGAGATTAACGGACATTTCAATTAAAAAGAGGTATTGCCATTAAAAAATACAGTGTATGTGATAGAACAGTGTATTAAAATATACAGGGAGCATCTAGAGAAGAACGGATGATGACAATGCTAAAATTAGTTAAGTACTAATCAAAGGAAAGCAAAAAACAAAAGACATTCCGGTCGGTTAAGCGTCTGCCTGCGGCTCAGGTCATGATCTCACGGTTTGTGAGTTCCAGCCCCGCGTCTGGCTCTATGCTGACAGCTTGGAGCCTGGAGCCTGCTTTGGGTTCTGTGTCTCCCTCTCTCTCCGCCCCTCCCCTGTTCGCACTCAGTCTGTCTCTCGCTCTCTCTAAAATAAATAAATGTTAAAAAAAAAAAAAAAGAAATGCAATTTGCAAGGTACCTAACTAATAATAGAATAATTTAAAATTACTTTCCTCTTGGAGATCATTAAAATTGGAATCCTTGTGGGTGCCCTCAGCAGAAAGCCTCCGCCCAGGTGACCATGTTGACCCCTCTCTTTCTCAAGGCATTTCTTTAGGAATGACCTATGTGGCTTCATGCAGAACACACAGGCAACTCAGAATCCCGTTACTGCCACTTGCAGAATTCAGAACATAGGTGAGAGGAGAGTTTACTTCTTTAGACAAACACGACTTGTAAAACCCAATGTAGTAACTCCAAGGGATGTTATTCCTAGTGGTCTTACTACAAAATCATGATGATATTTGGGACAAAAAAAAAAATTATGTTTCATAAATTATGAACATATATTTCATAAATTGTTCATGATGAATTTAAAAGTAAATATAAAGTGGGGCACCTGGGTGGCTCAGTTGGTTAAGCCTCTGACTTCGGCTCAGGTCATGATCTCGCAGTTCATGGGTTTGAATCCCGTATCCGGCTCTATGCTGACAGCTCAGAGCCTGGAGCCTGCTTTGCATTCTGTGTCTCCCTCTCTTTTTGCCCCTCCTTGCTCATGCTCTCTCTCTCAAAAAATAAACATTAAAATTTTTTGTGATGTTAAAAAAATAAATATAAAGCACATATTGATCATTAAAATTTAAAAAAATTTAATGTTTATTTATTTTTGAAGGAGAGAGAGAGACAGAACATGAGGGGGGGCGGGGGGTGGCCAGAGAGAGAGGGAGACACAGAATCAAGCAGGCTCCAGGCTCTGAGCTGTCAGCATAGATCCCGACGCAGGACTCAAACTCACAAACTGCAAGATCATGACCTGAATCAAAGCTGGAAGCTTAATCGACTGAGCCACCCAGGCACCCTGATCATTTTAAGTTGGGAAATCAATAGGGAAAACAACAAAATATCCTAGTTGTTATTAAAATATATATTGGGAATGATGATGTGATAACATTTCTATATTTTGGTCACTCTAGGTAATGCTGATCCCGAAGGCCAGGGTTACTGCCAAGCAGGATTTAGTCTGGATTTTTACAAGGTGAATTAGTTTGGGCTTGTAGCTTCTAGTATTATCTGTTTGATTTTTTCTTTTTTCTTTTTGTTTACTCTCTGCCTCTGGCTCTCATCCCCACCCCCAATAACTACCACCAACAAAAGAACCTTTAGGTATGTATCCAGCCTGTTTTGACAACTTCCTTAAATGTTTTTGCTCGTTCTTTATTTTCATTAAAGCAATCATGCAGATGACAAACTTATTAAAATAGCACAGAAATACATATGATGAAAAACAACAGTCTTTCTCCCCACCTCAGTGATAATCCTTTACATGGAAAATCTGGGGGCGCCTGGGTGGCGCAGTCGGTTAAGCGTCCGACTTCAGCCAGGTCACGATCTCGCGGTCCGTGAGTTCGAGCCCCGCGTTGGGCTCTGGGCTGATGGCTCAGAGCCTGGAGCCTGTTTCCCATTCTGTGTCTCCCTCTCTCTCTGCCCCTCCCCCGTTCATGCTCTGTCTCTCTCTGTCCCCAAAATAAAAAATAAAAACGTTGAAAAAAAAGAAAAAAAAAAAAAAAAGAAAATCTGAACAACTCAGTGAGAGAAATGTGTTTCTAAAAAAAAAAAAAAGGAAAGGAAAAAATTGCTTTATCTCTTAGCTGTAATTGACTGATTAGATTTAACACGAGTGTTAAAATTCACAACATCCTTTCACAAAGTTACAGAGATAATAAGGGACCAAGATTTTGTGGGTTTGAAAACAGTGTAGAAAAAAATTCATCAGCGTACAAATTGTGCTCTTTCGTGGCCTTTTTTTTTTTTTTTTTTTTTTTTTTTTTTTTTTTTTTTTCCCCCACTGAAAGTTGGAAGGAGGATGGAAGGAGGTGGTAAGGAGAAGGGAAAATTTATATTTGCTAGTCTGGGGTGTTTGCTCTCTCTTCTGAGAGGGGGAAGGGGTGGTTGCAGATGTATGGAAAAAATAGGCATTACTGTGGCCTTGAGATAAATAGAAACCATATTTTCTTTTGTTGCCAAAGCTCACAAGACCATGTCTGCTAAATTACACAGCATTAAACATGTACGTTATTTTGCTTACCTGAATCAGTGCCAAAAATCTGAATTTCTGTATCCTCAAGGGAGAGAATTCAACTTAGCTAATTGAGGCAAACGAAAATTATTTAATATGGTAACACACTAAATAGTAGAAAGCAAAAAAAAAAAAAAAAAAAAAAAAAGGCGAATAAAATGAACTGCATGACCCAGATACAAGGGCCTCATTTAAAAATTGCTTTTCTACGTGTAACAAATTGTTAGCGATGCTTGTTACCAATGATTTGTCACCTTGAAAAAGAAAAAAAATATCTGTTTTTCTTTTCCAATTGTTGCTGTTTCTGTTTTGTAGAATGGAGACCTCATAGTGGGAGGACCCGGGAGTTTTTATTGGCAAGGTACGTTCTGTGAGCAGAGAAGAAATGCCTATTTGTGGTTACTAACGAGGAGGGAAACACCGTTAACACCAAATGTTGACCCTTTGTTACATGAATTGTAGGTCTGGATTCAGAGTTTCTCCAAGGAATAAGGCATCATTTCCAACTGTATATGAATGCTATTTTTAAACACTGTTGCAGCTTAATTCATTTGTTCATCAAGCATTTATGGAGGCTGTGTGAGACTTCGTTCTAGATGCTGGGGATACAGAGATGAGTAGACTAGACGCTGTTCCCACCCTCACAAGGTTAACACCTGGGGGGAGATGTAGACATTAATCCAATATTCACACAAATACCTGATACACCCCACACGTGATGCTCGCTGTGAAGGAAAGGTACGTCGTGATGGGGCCATGAGAGTATAGGAGTCTTCTCCAGGGGTGGCTGCGTGCATGTGTTTTGTCCTCTGAACAACCTGTGCTGTGCTTAGGGAACCCTGGACCAGGTGTAGGACAGCATCTGCCCAGAGGGGATGATGCCTTCTAATTCTTATAAAGGTGCTGCACAGGCCAGAAGCTGCCCAAAGGTCACTAACTTGGAAACAAGCACCCCTGAACTGAGATCTGAACTTCGCTAGGAGGTAACTAGCAAAGAGAGAAGGGGCTCTATAGAAAGGTTTTGTGGCCTGAATTGAGCAGTCAGGCGAGATGGAGGGAAGCCAGGGTGAACAAGGGGAAATCCTTGGTGGATTGCAGGAGTGTAAATAGATGGCCTTAGCTATAGTAAGTATTCGTTTCTTGTCTCGAGAATCATGGGAAACCAGTGGAGGGTTTTTTGCATGGGATGCTATGATCAGATCTGTGTTTTGAAAAGCTCACTCTAGGGGTGCCTGGGTGGCGCAGTCGGTTAGGCGTCCGACTTCAGCCAGGTCACGATCTCACGGTCCGTGAGTTCGAGCCCCGCGTTGGGCTCTGGGCTGATGGCTCAGAGCCTGGAGCCTGTTTCCGATTCTGTGTCTCCCTCTCTCTCTGCCCCTCCCCCGTTCATGCTCTGTCTCTGTCTGTCCCATAAATAAATAAAAAAAAAAAAAAGAAAAAAAAAAGAAAAGCTCACTCTGGTTGCCGTATGGAAGATGAATTGGAGGTTGGCCAAAGTGAGGTGTGAGCAAACTACAAGTTTTTAAGGTCAACTAGCTCTAAGGTTCAGATGAAGACGTTTGCTTCTTAGAGTGGGAACAGTGCAGAATGGAAAGGAGGAGAAATTTGAGAGATGCTTTGGAGGAAAACAGACAGCTTAGTTGTTATGTGTGGGTGAGGAAAGGGAGGAGGCCCAGCATACATTTCTGACTTGCGACTGCATGGTTATAAGTGGGTCCCACTGTCTGAGATGGGGAACCCTGGAAGAGAACAGGTGGGAGTGGGTTGGAGAGGGAAGATGGTGAATTTGCTTTTGGTTATGTTGAATGTGAACATGGTTGAGATATCCAGGGTTTTTCATGTCTGCATATATGGGCTTTCACTCAGAGAAGATATCTAGGCTAACGTACAGACTTCCATCACTTGTATATTGGTGACAGTTAAAGCCGTGGATGTGGATGGGATGCCTACATAGAGATGACAGAGAATATTCCCTGAATTTTGGCTGTGAAGTTTAGGATAAAGATAGAGTAGACGATGAGAGAGATGAAGAGTGGAGTGAAATTTTTCTTTTCAACTGGAAGACACCTGATCAGATTAATAAGCCAATGGAAGAATACAATTATTGAGAGTCTGGGAAAGATGGTAGAGTAGGACCCTAAGGTCACCTTGTCCCAAGGATACAACTAAATAACATTCACATCAGTGTAAATAACCCAGAAAACAACCCCAAATCTGGCAGAACAAACTCCAGAACTAAATGTAGAGAAGCGGCCACATTGAAGAGGGTAGGAAGGGCAGAGATGTGGTAGGGAGCTAACCAGACCCTCGGGGCTGTCCTTGGGAGGGAGGGACACTGCACACACAGAGACGGGAGAGAAAGAGACTATCATGTCAGGGATCCCACAGGGGGAAGATGAGTCCCCATTATGTTTGGCTTTGAAAACCAGAGGGGCTGCCTTTTACAAGTTCTTCTAACTAGTGAGACTTAAAAACTGGAACTTTACAAATCAGCAGGCTCAGCTCTGAGAGAGCCAAAAGGGCTTGAGGAAACGGAGTCCCTGCCCCTAAAGAGACAGTACAATAAACAGCCCCGTGGAGATACAGCATAGAAGCAGCATCTTGAAAAATACCTGAAGGGAGAGTTGTTTACTAAACTCAGAGTGTGTGCCGAAGGAGCAGAGATCACTGGGGGACTTGTCCAGAAACCAAAGAGCTGGCAGGCACCATTTCCTCCCCTGACCCCCAGCGTAAACATGGCTGTCTGCAGGAAACAGCATGGCCCTGCCACTGCTCACTACCTAACTTGCTAATACCGCCACCACCCTATGCACTTCAGCAGATCTGTCCCCTCCAGCCAGACCTACCTCAGTCCCAGTTGCTGCAGGTCCCCTCCCACAAAGGGCCAGCAAAGCACTTGCTAACACCTTGCCTCCTGCCCCCTCCATTTTGAGGATCCGCCCCTTTCACACCCTTGGCCAGAGGACATCCAGAGTGGTGCCACAAGCCTGGCAGTGTGCAAGCAGCCCTAATGGGCCAGCAGTACTTCAAAGTGACTCCTGGCCTAGGGAGAGGGAAAGAGAACCACACACACCAGTCAGACGGTGGCCCCAGACAGCTGGTCTGACAGAACGACCTGCCCACCAAGGAAAGCTTTCAGGAAACGATATAAAAAAGTACTGTTCAGTTCAGTGATAGTAAATCTCTGGCAAATGCCTCGTCTGACTCAACTCAAGCCCAAGGCAGCATCAGACTGGCCCACTAACAGCACAGGGACCAAACACGGCCCACAACAGGCAAAGAGAGCCACTGCAGAAGACTGGACTGAAGGAAAAAGTGGCTCAGCTACAGCAGCAGGGCACATGCAACACACATAGGAGACAACTCTGAAGTACCAGGTTCTTGTGAACAGGGGACACTACACTGTGGGGCACTACGTGACCTCTTCTTCATAAGGCCACTACTTTCAAGAACAAGAGATGTGGTTGACTTTCCTAACGCACAGAAACAGACACAGAGAGTTAGACAAAATGAGGAGACAGAGAATATGTCGCAAATGATATAACAGGACAAAAATCACTGCAAGACACCTAAGCAAACAGAGATAAGTAATATGTCCAATAGAGAATTTAAAGAAAGAATCATAGGGGCGCCTGGGTGGCGCAGTCGGTTAAGCGTCCGACTTCAGCCAGGTCACGATCTCGCGGTCCGTGAGTTCGAGCCCCGCGTCAGGCTCTGGGCGGATGGCTCGGAGCCTGGAGCCTGTTTCCGATTCTGTGTCTCCCTCTCTCTCTGCCCCTCCCCCGTTCATGCTCTGTCTCTCTCTGTCCCAAAAATAAATAAACGTTGAAAAAAAAAATTAAAAAAAAATAAAAGAAAGAAAGAAAGAATCATAAAGATGCTCACGGACTTCAGAAAAGAGTGGAGGATATCAATGATCCTTATCAAAGGGATATGAAACACAAAAAAGAACCAATCAGAGATGTTCCTTAATAAATGAAATTTAAAATACATGAGATGAAATAAATAGTAGACTAGAGGAAGCCCTGGAGAACACAGTTATGGAAAGCAATCAAGCTGAACATGTGAGGGAAAAAAGTAATGCAAAATCAAAGGGCATAGGGAATTCAGTAACACCATCAAGAATAATGACATTTACATCATAGGGATCCCAGAAAGAGAAGAGAGAGAAAAGGGGGCCGAACATTTATTTGAAGAAATAAGAGCTGAAAACTTCCCAAATCTGGGGAAGGAAACAGAAATCCAGATCCAGGAGGTGCAGAGAGTCCCCAACAGAATCAATCCAAGAATGTCCACATCAAGACAAATAGCAATTAAAATGGCAAAAAGTAGTTATAAAGAGAGAATTTTAAAAGCACCAAAAGAAAAGAAAACGGTTACATACAAGGGAAACCCCATAAAGCTATCCACTGACTTTTTAGCAGAAACTTCGTAGTCCAGAAGGGAGTGGCATGATATATTCAAAGTGCTGAAAGAGAAAAATCTGCAGCCAAGAATACTCTATTCAGCAAGGCTCTCATTCAGAATAGAGGGAGAGAAAAAGAATTTCCCAGACAAACAAAAGTTAATAGAATTCATGACCTCTAAACCAGCGCTACAAGAAATGTTAAAGAGTAGAAAGGAACAACCTTAAGTAGGAGTAAGAAAAGTAGGAAGCAAAAAGCAGTAAAATTAAGTATATCTATAAAAATCAGTCAAGGGATTCACAAAATAAAAAGACGGGAAGTATGACAGCATATATATCTAAAGCTTGGGAGGGAAAGGAGTTAAGAATGAGTTCAAACTTACAGATATCAACTTAATATAGACAGCTTCATGTATAAGAGGTTATAGATAAGCCTAATGGTAGCCACAAATCAAAAGCTAGTAATAGACATACAAAAAATAAAGAGAAATGAAATCCAAGTATATCACTAAAGAAAGCTGTCAAACCATGAGAGAACAGAGCAGGAGTAGAAAGGAACAGACAAGAACTATAAAAACAACCATAAAACAAATATGAGATGGCAGTAGTATAAATCTATCAATCATCACTTTGAATATAAATGGACTAAATGCTCCAATCAGAAGATGTAGGGTGGCAGAATGGATAAAAAGCAAGATTCATCTATATGCTTCCCACAAGAGACTCATTTCAGACCTAAAGACACATGCATATTGAAAGTGAAGGGATGGAGGGGCGCCTGGGTGGTGCAGTCGGTTAAGCGTCCGACTTCAGCCAGGTCACGATCTCGCGGTCCGTGAGTTTGAGCCCCGCGTCAGGCTCTGGGCTGATGGCTCAGAGCCTGGAGCCTGTTTCCAATTCTGTGTCTCCCTCTCTCTGCCCCTCCCCCGTTCATGCTCTGTCTCTCTCTGTCCCAA